CCCCAAAACCCCAAAACCCCAAAACCCCAAAATCAATGAATATTTAAATCATTGGAGTTTACAATAAAATATCTAAATAAAAATTAATCTAGTAGACTTAATTAAATCATTTTAATCATTACAGCTCGACCTCACCTTTTTCATCATTCTTCTGATTTTCTTTGATTGAGTCTTATTGCAATAGCTTTTCTTCTTTTTAAGTTCTTTAAATACTTTCCTGTACTGTTTGATTCCAGTCAACTTTAAAACTTATTAGGAATTGATAGATTGTGCATAAGATACCTTAACCAATAAACATCCCGAACCATAAGCCATTGATTCCCATTCCCTTTCCAGTTTCAGTATTTTAACCAACATGAAAGGCAAATACATAACCAAGTGGGAGTGTAAAACCATAATAGGAAATAAGAACTGTTAAAGAAGTTAGTCCTACTTTACCAAGTCCTCTCATAATTCCTTATTGGCAAGCCTGAGGCTGATTAAAAAATTAGACAAAAGCCATATACTTGAGAGCATCTGCAACTAGCTCTTCAACTCTCTCAATATCAGTGTAAAAAGCAGCAATCTAAAATCTGAAAAACCAAACTAAAACTATGATTATTATTGCTTCAATTAATCCAATAAATTGACATAAATTTGCATATCTTTTAGCTAATTATGAGTCTTTTGCTCCAATAGCTTTGCCAACAACTGCGTTACTTGCAATTTAAAGTCCAAGAGCTGGCATATAAATTAGACACTCAAAATTGAATAAAACTGCTTATGCTCCAGTAGAGTTAACTCCAAGAAACGCAGATAAAAGAGTCATAAATTCAAAGCTGGACCATTCAAGGAATATGATTGCAGTTGAAAACAACCCAATTTTAAGGTACTCTCCCAACCCTCTGAAACTATCTTTACTAGGCCAGAATATTGCATCTTTAAGCTAACTAATTCTGGAGATGAAAACAAGCAATATGAACATATTTATGAAATTTGTGATTGAAAAAGCCATTGCTGTCGCTCTTATTCCAAGATCAAAAGTGTGAATAAATAGGTAGCACCACAAAACATGAAATAAAGTAGTTGCTAATTGAATGAACATTGGACCATATTAATTGCCTGTGTTGTATAAAAGTCTCTTCATCGCATCATAGTGGGCATAGCTTAATAAACCAGGTATTTTCCAGAATATTTAAATCTAGGCATAATGACTTGTTTTCGGATCAAAATTTAGCAATAGAAATAAACTTTCAGCACTCAGGAGAAGAGCTGAGAGAGGAATGAAAGCTAAAGTAGCGACTACTCTTGCTCTGTTAAGATAGATACCGCACATTCTCATATTACCTGTTCCGAAAGTTTGAGAAATCAAAGTTGATAAAGCTGAATTCAATCCAATTGTGATTGACAAGCATACTATAGTAGTATACATTCCAGCGAGACCAGCTCCAGCAATCATTTCAGCTTCTGGCATATGGCCATTGAAAACCGCGCTTATTACTTCCATTGAATAATAAGTAAACATTGTAATAGTTGCTGGACCGCATATTTTTAGTATATCGATAACTAACTCTTTATAAGACTTTTCGACCATGGCTGTTTACATTTTTAATGGACTATTTTCTTGTGATTTGTTAACTCAATTATAAATATCTTCTATTTATTATGATTCCTTCCAATAAAATCTCTCTAATTGATATCTAATGGGGTTTTGGGGTTTTGGGG